GAGCTCAGTCAGAAAGCTGTGTGCATGTTTGGCCCACATATTACCTGCAGACTCCTGGGCCACAGCCCTTACATTTCCCGTCTTGAGAGGGGCTCAGGACAGAGGAAAGAACACTGCTGGGGCAGAGATCAGGGTGGAAAGGGAGGCAAAGGCTGTAGCTCTTGGAAGCAGGAATCCTCTGTAGAGAGGGGAACATGGTCACTGCTAAGCCATGCAGAGGGATCTGAGCATTCTAGGGGTGCAACACCCCTCCCCCACCTTAGCCTCTCCCACTTTCCCTTCCTATGGTAGAGCTGGGTGATCAGAAGGAACTCCCTGCTGGGCAAGAGGAGGGGCTGGTGTCCCTGTGTGCTAATCCTGGGCCTGAGGTCTTCAGAGAGACCTGGGAAACTTCAAGGAGGGGAAGCCAAAGCTGTACTGCAGCTGAGCTCATTAGCCAGCACACCCCTCCCCACGAGGAGGAGGGTGGGAGGCCCAGTGAGCTTGGCGGCAGAGAAAAGGCTGTCACTGTCCTTTCTTCCTTTTGGTACAAGCGTCTCCCTGAGCCTACGATTCTCCTGCAGTGACACCTCTCACGGGCACTAATGAGATCCATGCCACAGAGCTAATGCATTCTGACTGGACTCTTGATAGACACCCCACTCATGTGGGGGAGACCACAGGCTAGTACTTCCCCCCACAGAGGAGCACCCCCCCATACCACCTGCCAGCTCAGCTCTTGCCAAACTGCTGGGCAGCAAGCTCCTGAGAGTCCATTTGGTCTCTGGCCATGCCACCTGTACCATGAGCCTCAGCAGGGCCCTCCCTGGTCTCAGAGCAGAGGGGCTAAGATCACAGGGCAGGACCACCCAGCTGGGTATCAGGGACTGTTGCAGTTATTCTCCTGGCCAGCTGCAACCAGCAGTCTGCTGCGGGTTGGCACAATCTCAGGTTTGACTGGTACTTGCTGTGTAGATTTCAGAAAGAAAAGGGAAGGAACCCAGGCTCTGCTGCCGAGAGCCCAGTATGGAGGGCTCAGGCTTTGTGTGCATGTGTTGCTACAGATTGAACCCAGGGCCTTGCTCATGGTAGGCAAGTGCTCTACCACTGAGCTGCATCCCTAGCCTAAAGGACCCAGCCTACAACAATGGTAGCAGGATAATCTTCTGTATACTCCTAATGTGAGGGCCTGGAGATGGGTGGGATTCCCTGGACCAAGAGGTAGAGAGCAAACTGCAATCAGAGCAAGAAGTTTCAAGGACCAGAGGTCAGCAGGTGCAGTGCCCTGGCTTGGGGGCAAAGTAGTTTCAACAGGACTGATGGACAGCAGCGCCTGCCTTTCTTTCTTCGGCTGTTGCTGCCCAAGCTCTGTAAAGGTCAATATGGATCACAGGAAACTAGGCAAAGTGAACATGCAGGCTGGGCTGAGGAGATAGTTCAGGGGCTGAGGTGCTTTCTCTCAAGCATGAGGATCTGCATTTGATTCCCAGAACCCAGGTTTTGTTTTGTTTTGTTTTTTAAGTTAAAGCAATAACAAAGTTCAACACTAAAAAGCACAGCATTGGCAGGGCACAGGGACTGAGAAGTTCAGTTGTGCCCTTGGGTATTTACATAATCCTGGCTCCTTATTTTTCTGTTTCTTCATCTCTAAGAAGGGAAAGTGATGCCTACCTTCATATAATTGATATGAAAATTAAATTAGTTTATGTAAAACAATAGGAACACTTTGCTGACTCGATGATGAAATGTGCTCCAGCCTCTCTGGCCCTCCCTTGGCCACTCCCAAAACTGTCATCTCCAGGCCCCAATGCCAAGCTCAAACTTCTACCTGAAATTTCTGTGGGTACCAGGAACCATGCCATCTATACCTATTCACTTGTAGCCCTGCTACAATTCTTGACACACAGTAGATGCAAGGTAAGCAGTTAATGGCTAAAAGAAAGTTTCATCTGGTTCCTTGTCCCCGTTCTCATGCTGCCCTGGCTCTCAATGACCTTTTTGTGCCTTTCTTTTGGCACCCCTGCCCTGCAGACTCTCCATCAGTCCTCCCCACACAAACCAGCAAAGCATTCTCAAAGCTCAAATCAGACAAAGTCCCTCCCCTCACATACCCCAAGATACACAACTTGACAGGCCTTCCTCCCGCCCACCCTTATCCATAGCCTATCTCCCTGTCCTCTTCTGTCACCCCACCCTTCCAGCAAGCATGCCTCCTTGTACTCTGAGCACCTCCACATCATCAATGTCATATTTCCATGGCACTGTGGAAGAACCAATCAGAGCCTGGAGATGGCTAAGTGGTGGGATCTGCACAATTCTTGTCCAGCATCACCCAGTGCTGCCTCCCCCCACCCAACAATATACATACCATTCCCTACTCCAGCCTGGCAGCTCCTCACACAGTTAATTAGCACCATGTCACTGAGGACCAGCCTGAGTGGCCAGTGACAGGAGCTGACCCCTGACCCCAGGGCTGGGAAGCAGTCCACATCAAACTCTTACAGCTCGACCCTTTTAGCACGCACAGTAACTCGGGGCACCGCCAGCTGAAGCTCATTAAAGCTGTCTCTTTGGTGCGAGGGCCATTAACCTCACTGCTCAAAACCCACGCCTCCCCTCCCTGTCTCTCCCAGCCCAATTAATGCCCTCTATCCTCCCTCCCTTCCAAGCACCCTCACCCACACCTCAGAGCTAGCCAGGAGCTGGCAGAGCTGCCCTCTTCATTCAGACTACAGAGTCCAAGTGCCAAGAAAGGCCAGTGCCCTGGCAGCCTCTGACATTGGCAAAGCCATGGAGAAGGAGCTCCCTGGGCATCTACCTTGAGATGGGCCTTACAAAGGCCTTTCCCTGGGCTGTTCACTGGCCCCTCCCACTGCCCCAGGAGGCTGGCAGCACTGCCCCTCAGCTGAGGTCTCAGGGATCTGCCCAGTAAAGCTAGAACTATTTCTGGCTTCATTGTTACTCAGAGTCGTGAGCTGCACTGTGGGCCAGAGAGAAAAATGTTCTTTAAAGGAGAGGCCACCTCAGGAGTCCTAACCCAGGAGAACAGACAGGGAGGGATCACTGAGCCTCAAGAGGCAACAAAGAGTGGTGAGGGGGGTTGTTCTCCTCACAGATATACCCTGTCCACATAGACAGAAGCTGTGGAGGATGCCTTACCATAGTCCTGTTGTTCCAACCAACCAACCACCACCAGACTCCATTCCTGCTAGCCCTCCTTCCTTGAATGAATGCAAGCCTTCTCAATGGTTCTATTTTCTTAGCCTCTCCGTTTTCCATAACTTTTCCACTGATTCATTTACTCACCAGCTTTTCAGCTATCCATCTGCAAGACTTTACTGAGCAACTACTAAGAGCTAGCTAGCTCTGTGCAACACAAACTGCTGTATTAAATCTGAATCAGAGCTCTGATCACATCACTCTTTCATCTTCTAATATCCTCTCTAAACCTTATTTTCGGGGAGGGAAGAATAACCTTTTAACTAAGCACTCAAGGCTCTGCTTCTATCGTTTACTAAACTACTTGCAGATGCCTAAACGTGTCTTCTGAATACACGTTCAGGTCTTCATGCTTTCTTTATATACTCATTTTCCCCGCCTAAATACTACCCCTTTGTTTTTCTACCTAGAAAATGTATTTATCCTTCAAGGATCCCGACTCAGGTGCTTTTACCTAATAAATTTCCTGCTGAACTCTCAAGATTTATCACAAGAAAGAACAGCAGTTACAGCAGGGTACCCCAAAACACCAGGCTTCCTTCTCCCCCTGGTCCCTAGGACTGATAAAGAGCACCTCAGGGATCACTACAATGTAGATGAAGTAGAAGCTAACTTGACAACTAAGAATAGGGGCAATCCAGATGTTTCTACCACAACAGTTGTACACCTGGTAGACAAGTACACATCTCAGGTTCTGTCCCTTCTCAGTATGCTCAGCACCCACTGGGCACTGACAAGATGTGGAATGGGTAAAGGGGACTAATTTGTAGCAAGTGGCTGGGGCCTTCTACCATTCTGATGTCTCTAGCCCCTACCAATGACACCTTGTCAAAAGCAATCAAGTTCTAATAAGGTCATAATGCCACCCAGGTCCACCCTGGCCCCATGCCCTAGGACAACACTCGCCACCTGTGCTCCTTGGAAGCATTTACACATACACACAATAAGAGACACAGAAAGAGACCTTCTTCTGACGGATACACACACAGGCTGGTGGTTGTTCCATAATTAGACACATGATCTCAAATAAACATGGATGTCTTATTAGGGAGACACCCTCTTCTAACAGACATGTGCAAAGATGAAGACCTTATACTCAGACAGACATAAAGGCAAGATGTCATACACAGACACATATTCATACCAATGTATCAGAAGCTCATAGAGCTGCCAACTATGTGGAATTGCAGCCACTACAGTTTCTCCCAAGCAGGAATCCCCGAGTGTTACCCCACCTGTTACCCCAAGTGGCCCCTCCTAACCCAGGCACTGCTCAGTGGAGGCTGCTGCTCCTGCAGGGGAGTCAATACCCTGTGGACGAAGCCATCGGTCAGAAGGACCTAGACTAATTAAAAGCTGGTGAGGTTTAAATAATTCATCTCCTTAACTCCCATTGATCGTCCAGTTTAGTGGCCACAGACTTGAAACAATATTAAACAGCCTCCTCTAACAGGGGGGGTGGGTAAGCTGACATATGCCCATTTCCCTGAAGACACTGCCCACTGGGGGCGCAGGCAATGGGGATAAGGGGACGGTGCTTTGAATCTACTGCTACCTGTGACTCACCCAAAGCCTATATTCCAGTCTCCTCTTCAAAGGTCTTGAGACGTCCCTTCCAATTGTCCCAATCCATAATCTCCTCAATCTGCCCTTCCTACCCACCTCCCTCCAGCCCATGGTGAGAACCTTCCATAGGGTTGAAGTACTAAATGAGACATGGAAGTCCTCTGATTGTCAGAGGACTGAGGCATGCAGGCAGGGGGCTGACAGAGCTGCCAGGGGGGATTTGTGAAGGGACTGACCAATGCCGCTGTGGGGCCGGCCTATGTGCTGCAGGCTGAGACCCTTGTTCATGTCTAGGAGTCCATTCTTGGGCCAGCAGCCCATGGCGAAGCTGTAAGCCTGGAAGACAGGAGGCAAGAGTTGTTAACAGAGGCCCTGGCCACTGAGCAAACCCCACTCACCAAGTCTCCCCCTGTACCCACTTCTTCCCCTCAGGTATTTGTAATAACAACCTCAGTAGAGTCCCTCACCATGTTCCTTCCCTTTCACCAAGGCTCCCCCACCACAAAAAGCCCTTCCTTCTCCAAAGTTTTTCTTCTCCTGGGCTTTCCCCTGCAGCCCCTGCCATCCTTCCTGGGGGGCTCTTCTCTAGAAGTCTGGGTTGCTTAGGTCGCCCCCCCCCCATCAGAGCATTCCTGTCAGCATGCACCCCTCCACAGACTCCCATCCGAGAACACCACAGCTGTGCTGGGCTCCCTCTCTTGGTATTACTGGTCACAAAGACTGTTCTCAGCTAGGATCCGGGAGATTCGTGTTTCCAAATTTCGTTCTACCGGCAGGAAAAATGAATCAGGAACTGGCCAGTAACATGCCTGTGGTCAAGTTGCTTTTGATTCTGCACAGGCAAGGCTGTGAAAGGCTGTGAGTGGTGTGTGAGAGCTCAATGAAAGGGGAGTAAGGTCACCAGGTCAACTCAAGCATCAGTGAGGGAAGTACATGGGTGTGTGTGTGTGTGTGTGTGTGTGTGTGTATGTGTGTGTGTGTTCTGTTGAAGGTCAAGTGCTCACTTATGCATATTCAAAGCGGCCACCCATTGATCTGTACTTAATTGTTTTCCTGGGGCTGGGGAAGGAAGTGCTGGGGGCATCGATCTGCTCAGGTCCCCAGCAGCTTCACTGCTCCCTTCTTCCTCGATCACACCATCTGGCCTCCAGCAACTTCCATCTGGGGGGAACACATGGCAGGAGACAGGATCTGCCTCCCTTCACTGGAGACAGGACCAGCAGCATCTTCCCTCACTGGCATGACAGGCCTAATGTCACAGATGAGGAAACTGAGGCCCAGAAGAAAGTGACTTTGAGCTACGAGGGTTAGACCTCTACAATGTGGCTGAGAGAGATTTCTTCCTTCTTAGCTTGCCAAAATAGTTCTGGGCTTCTGCCAGTGGGCCTGAAATCAAATTAAACATTTAACTATCCTTAACCCTCCACTTCTGAAGTCACTAAATACCAAGCTGACCTTCTTCTAATGGCAGGAAGGTGACAGCATGTGGGGCAGTGGCAATGGGGATGAAACTTGGGTGAGTTGGGTCGGGTGACAGAACCAAAATGCCCGCTACCCAGGCTTAGATAAGCATTGCAGTGCCCACCTACTTCTGGGCGCAGCAGCTCCCACACAGAGGAAAAGACCCAGCACAGGGCCAGAAACAAGATGTGCATGGGGCGGGAGGGGGGCGGGGCACAGGACGGTGTCGGACAGTATCTGTGCCAGGGCCCAGGGGCTAGGTAGGCAGAGGGCCAGTTTCTCTCCTTTCCAGCTTCAGGAACCTGGCCCATGGACACTAGAAGACTAGGAGCCAATGCAATTTAAAGCACAGTACTTTCCAAAACCATTTTCCTTGACCAGAGGGACCAGCCAAAGCTCAACTCCAGCCAATCTTGCTCTGTCTTCTCCCAAGTCACAGCAATAGCCACAAATCGGAGGCCGAGTGTGGGACACGAGGATGGGTTTGGGAGAGAGCATGCTGGCAGAGCCAGGATATGGGCAACAAGGGGATGCATGCAGCAAGAGGATACAGACAGAGAAGAGAGATAGTCAGTAGGTGGGCACAGCTGGGGGAACTGCTGAGCATGGCCAGCTGAGGCTGGAGTGCAGTGGGCCAGAGAGCAGTGGCGGCTGCCTTTCAAGTACTTGAAAATCACTTACAAAGGCCGGATTAAACGATCAGAAATTCCATTTAATAGGACAAATAAAGAAATAACAATCTACTCTATCAGCCTGGAGAAGGAGAGCTGGATGGGTTTTTCCCCCCCTTGAAAAAGGAAAAAGGGAAGGAAGGGGGGAAAAAGAAGGATAATGTGTGTTTACTCAAGCAAAGAAAAAAATATTTAAGTGATGTCGGGGAGAAGATTGCAGTAACTAGTGAAGAATAACATCGTCTACTTTGCTGTCAAATCACACCCGAATTTCAGTAATAGATTCTCGGCTGACACTCAATTCAATTCGAAGGTGATCCTGCTTTATCCCAGCCCATCAAATATTAAACACTTGCATTAGCAGGTGCTGCCGCTTCCCGGCTTAAAGCGGCGGGCGGCAGGGCTGTGGCAGCCCCTCCACTCTGCTTGTGGCTCAGGGACAGGGCATCTTAACGTTATCTGCACGTCATCCCGAGTCTTATCGCAGCTAAGCGGGAAGACCACTTCAGATAACATTATATGCTTGCCCCATACGTCACCATGATTAGATTATTACTGTAATTATGACTCCCCAAGATCTTCTCAGGCCAGGATGTGTAGAAGGGGGATGGAGGGCCAGGCTGAACCAAGGAAAGCTGGAGCCCCAGGCCAGAGAGAAGTACCAGGCAAGGTGCAGCCTGGTCCCGCCTGACGGATGCCTTTCAGGAAGGGCAGTGTAGCTTGTCAGAGCAAGGGTGAGATGAATTGGCATCTCCACTGTGGCAATGGTGTCATGCTACACAGTTTCATAGTTCTAGATAAGGCAAGATAACCAATTGCTGCTGAGACATGGCCTCATCCAGCACTTCCTCAGGGGGTATGGGCCAGGAGGAGGGGTGGCATGTGCACATGGGTCTGCCAAGCTCCTAATAAGAGGGATTTAATTTTTACAAATGCTGCTTCCAGCGGGGCCTTCACATACCAGCCAAAGTCCAAAATGATATTAAAAACGGTTAATTAAAACTGCTCTCCTTCAGCCTGGGATTCCTCCTGCTGCCCCCGCTGAGAACACTGGCATATCTCCCCCAGAGCTTAACCTTCTGACATGGCCACCAGTTTCACAGCAGCAGTGTAGGCACAGCACCACAAATGCCCCCCCCCCAAAGCCCCAACTCTGTCGTTTTGGAACCTATCAGGCACAGCTAGCAGTCACAGTCACAGAGACACAAGATGCTCATAAAGCAAACAACTTGTGTTCCCATCGCCGAATGCTCTGGACCTCACATCTGCTACCCTCTGCACCTGGACCCATATCTTGGGTCCTTTTGAAGCTTCCCATCTGGGACAACATACATCAGGGAGTGGCTGACTATGTAGGTCCTCACATGCTTCAGCCCCTCTCCTCAGTGACTGCCCATCCTGCCATCCCCCTAAAGAGCCTGCATCTGTAAACAATCTTAGCAGAGCTCCTCCAAGAGTCCTGCCCAGGACAAGGTATACAAGTTATGCTGCAAGGACTCTGGTTGGAAAGTCAAGGCTGCCACCTGGCAATCAGCCAGAGCAGGAGGCTGAGCCCTGTGTGAGGCTGGAGGAGGCTAGGAAAGTCTCCTGTGGGAGTGTTCCTAGAAGGCCTGAGCACAGCCAATAGGGAGCACTGTGTGAGGCTGGAGGAGGCTAGGAAAGTCTCCTGTGGGAGTGTTCCTAGAAGGCCTGAGCACAGCCAATAGGGAGCACTTCAGTCCATGCAGAAGATGCAGCCAAGACAGGGGAATGGCAGGAGTGGGGAGAGGCTTCCTCTTCTTGTTCCCTTCCTTCAGCCCCTGGGAAAGGAGGGGGGCCCAGAAGCTTCCTAATCTTGACCAGTGTGGGACAGGAATCTGTTTTAAGAGCTCTCTTCAAGCCTTTGTACAAGAGCTGTTTACCAGTGGTCACACTTCCCCATGGCACCACCTCTCAGTCATCAAGGCCCACATAGCCAGCTATGCAGTTAGCAACTAACTCTTGGAGTTCCCAGCCAGAGGGTGGAGCCTGTGGAAGGATGACTACTAAGGAGAGGAAGATGACTTCTAAGTTCTGTCCATGACAGGTACTCAAATGCTGAGCCAGGAGGACAGGTGGAGCTGGATTGAAAGATGCTGTACCCACTGAACCAACCCACCCTACCCTGTCAGGCAGGCACGCACACTTCCCTTCCCCTGGGCCGCTGTAATTTCCATGCACAGGGAAGCAGGTGCCGAGCTGCTCCCGGCTGGCTTTCCCCTCTTGTGGCTCTGCCCGCCTTGGCTGCTGCCCCATTAGCTTAGTGGCCAGCCATCTGCGACGGGCCTGCTGCACAGCCCTGCTGTAGGCGCGGCGGGTGGCCCCCTGTGTAACAGGGAGCTTTGCCATTAGCGCCTTTAATATTCTGACACCTCAGCACAGCCTGCTATTACATGCAAACGCTGATCGCCCTGTGAAATTACATTGCTGGGCCCGCGAAATGGAATCGTGTATAATCAGCCTCCTCCATGCACTGTCAGTCCCATCACAAACACGGCGCCCGGCGGCTTACGGGGGCTTAGCAGCTGCGACAAGTGTATTGGGTTTAATAGATGAAGTAGCCCTCAACGGCAGCAGCACCAGATCCTTCAAAGAGGAGAGAAGAGGCATCAACAGCTGCTCTGGTGTCCCTGCCTACCCATACACTACCTGACAGTGGGTGGACAGGGCAGGAAGGAGGTTGAGTAAAAGTCTAGAACCTAGCTCAGACTGCAGACAAAAGTAGACTACTCAGTAACTTCCAGAACACCATGTACCAACATATTGGTTCTCTGCTGACAAGGAGAGGAGCAGGCCTTTGACACACACTTCTGCATGACTTGTCACTCTGCAGACCCAAGACTGGTGAGCCCTTCCCCAAGACTAGAGACCAAATCCAGCCTACCAGAGAAGAAGGTGAAGATGTGGTTCTTCAATATGAGAGTTGCACTACCTAAATGATCAACATGTCTTCTTCATATGAGGCATAAAAGACTAAAACCTAAGCCACTAACTAAAAGGGGAAACACGCATGCTAGTCGGGTATTCTACCATTCTGATACATTGCTGGCCTTAGCAGCACTCTGCCAATGAGCTGAGTATCCAGGTCACAAGTAAACACAGTTTGGGTATGTGCCACGTGTATTTGGGGATATCCAGCAGCCTGTGCCTTGCAGAAAGGCAATGCATTCAGAGCTTAAACCTGCA